GATAACTGACATCCATTAGACATGGCACGTGGAATTAGAATAGTCTACCCCAGTGAACGAAATAAGGGGTTCAGTTCGACATTCCAACCACCTGAAGAAGGCCGGAGCGTACAACGGCCGAAACGCTGTAATAAATATGGCGATAAAGATGAGGACAATAGTCCGAATAATGTAAATAATGTACACAATACCTCATCTCAGAAATATAGACAGACTTTGAAGGTGAACCTTACTGTAAAAAAAATAGAATAAATATTGATCTAGCGAGACAAGCCACCTCGAGGTACCCTGCCTGGGGTAATAATCTTCACTAACATTCGTTGCAGAACGAATGAAACGTCGAAAAATCAATTATTGTTCAAAACAATTCTTACAGCCGATTTTATTCATCGTATATACTGCCGTGTATATACCGATTTGCTTTAGTCAAATTAGCTTCAAAGTTAGGTCTTCAAAAATCGCCATTATATACTATTCATTTTTATTTTTCTGGCAAATATACGTCTTCTGATGGGTACATCGCATTTGAGTGTTAGCCCGACTGACGGTAAAACAGAGAATGTATACGTTATTTCCCTCCCACACAAATACGCCACAAATTCTCTCGAGAGAGAGAAAAAAAAGCTGACAACGAATAAAAATCTTCTTTTTTTTTAATGACAAACAACTGTCAAATAGCAATAACGCGCATCGTTCTATCCACGTGTAAATACACGCGTGTAATATGTGCAAACGTTTATTTCCGTATGACCTACAGAATTACGCCATTTTTAAAACTGAATCTGGAGAAATTCGGAAGGTTTCTTCTTTTTTTCTTTTTTTCAGAAAGGGTGATACACAAGCAGAAGGACGTGTATTTATGTTTCATAGATTGAAACAATTTGACAAGTTACGACACAAGGATCTGTCTGAACTGCTTGGAACACTCGAACAATTTGAAAAGTCTCTGAGAATAGTCCAGAAATTATACTGTGAGCATGTCGGAGTTAGCTCCTCTTTAATTCCCTAATTGTCACTAGGAGTCACTCTCCCTATACTATAAATACTGGGCGACTTCTCGCCTCGTTCTCTTTTTCATTTCTTCATTTCAGAGACAACAATGTAAGCTCTCTTAGAAATTTCCAAGTCTTCCCATTTGTAGAAGACGCCATGAACATTATACACACATACACATACATACGAACATTCACCAAAGAACAAACACAAATGTTCACACACACACACACACACACACAATGTTATTGTCTATGTCCATTGTAAAATTGTGTTGTTTAATACATATATTTGTTTATATATATATATATATATATATATATATATATATATATATATATATATATATTACAGATTGAATTTACTTAAAGGAACAATTAATTATCTTATCTTCATACCCTGCCTGGTGGCAGAACCTGCTAGTGGCGCCAGGGGTGGCGGTCCCCCATAGCCACTAAAACACGTGATATCACCCCTGGTCGGCGGCGGCTGATGAAGACAGGGTATCGCACGTGCTAACACACGTTGTATGTTAATATATATATATATATATATATATATATATATATATATATATATATAAAACACAATATCCAGCCGGGCTAAATCATAAATTTAACAATATAGATAGTACTAATATATAACTCAACAAATCAAAACCTACCCACATTTCTCACCCACACAAGACAGGCATGCTTACGGAGGTGTGGAAGCCTCACATTTATACACACACCCACACGAATATACACACTACACACATCATACTCATTCTCTCCCTAATGAGCCAAATGATAACACACACCCACAGCAATACACACGCTTACACATATCATACTCACTCCCTCCCTAAGAACCAAATAACACACACATAAACACTAAACAGAGACACATCCCCTCACCAGGTCCAATAAAACTGTCAAAATGACCAGAGAATTCAGAGTAACATGTATCTATCCAGCTCTTATCTCAAATAACAACTTAAAAGAGACTGTTTGACCAACACAAGGAATGTTAAAAGATTCATGTTAAAAAAGATAAAAAAATAAAAAAACAAATGAAAATCTATAGACAAAAGTTCATTTTCTCCAGCAAAAGACATTCATTTCTGTAGTTTAGTGCTACCAGCAAGCAGAAATATTTCTCCTCCCGATAATGGCCATTTCGGCCGAAACTAGTCGAGGAATCTAAATGAAATAATAATAAAAAATAACGAAAGAATATTAATCTACAACCCAGTATGTCTGAAGATTTTAATTTTTTAATATTTTTTATTGTTCAATATATATATATATATATATATATATATATATATATATATATATGGTCTTGTCTGTTTGTCTTCTTTACATCTTCAGTTCGACTTAACTTGAGTCCGGCAAATTTTCTTGTAGTTGGAACTTTCTAGCAGGAAATAGATAGACGTGTCCCTAATTCAATAACACGCAACCCACACGATCCTCGACATGCAAATCGACTATTCTACGAATAGATAATAAATTAGGTAACTATGCAGAAATACAATGGGATGTAAGACAAGGCTATGCCTTCTCCCCAGATTTATTCAAAACCTACCTTTGGGGCTGGAAAGATCCAGTGGCGTGGTAAGAAAAACAAAAGTAGCAATGGCATATCTGAACCATAACACACACACACACACACACACACACACACACATACGCATTGTACCGGGAGTGTATCTTGCCTTCACTTTACAGTGTATACTATTTATATACCAACAATTATTATAAGAAACACTAAGATACTTATTTGATATGCAATAGAAGGACTAAGAAAATCCAATCAAAGGTTGTCTATACATTGGAGGCGTTAGGGTTGGGTTTTGGTTCGGTAGGCGATGGCAACACCCCAAAATCTGGTAACCAATGCTCTACAGCGTTGCTATCCTAAACGAACTGAAGACCCCCCTCTCACTCCCTCTCCACCCATCCCCCATCTCTCTCTCTCGCTCTCTGTGTATATGCCGTGTCCTCTCGGGACGTTACTTTTTGTCTGTTACTAGTTTGGCGTCAGTAAAAATCTTCCTTGTCTACTCAGCGCTTCGAACAAGTGTAAGGTATTTGAGTATTTCGACCGGCGTCGTTCTTTTATACTGAAATACACTATATATCTGAAATGCGGAGTAGGTGCATAGAAGATGGGTTGACGGAAATAATTTTATTATTGAATAAAGACGTTATAATTTTTATGAATAAATCATCTAAAAAAAAAAAAAAAAAAAAAAAAAAAGCACGCTGGGAAATTCTGCATTAACCTTATTGCGCCTGCGTGGGAACGAAAAAAAAAAGAGATTTGGAACGGGTGGATAGTTACGCGTGGGCGGTTATTGCTTGGATGTACGCTTGTGTGAAATAGTCTTTATTCCTCTTTTACAACTGTGAAAAAGCAATAAGTTCAAGCGGCAATCGATTCATAGTGCCAATGTAGGTCAGGTCAATAAGTCAGAAGAGAATATTTCCCAGCGTCACCTGATGGAAAAAAGAAAGAAAGAAAAATGGAAGACAGAGAGATATCATTACTTTTGTATTTACCTTTATATATACCGTGCGTAACAGCAAAATTGTCCAGATCGTCTTACAGAATAATTGTCCACCCCACAAAATATCTAAATAACCACTAAACGAATTGTTTCTTTTTTTTTCCAGGTTTTCAGATAAGACGTTTAGTCATCTTGATACCATTTATCGTAGAAATCAGTGAAAAAAAAAACCTTTGATTTATTCAGATAGAAATAGAACATGTTAAAATCGTTTTGTGTCAGCTTCACTGTCTTCTCACCTGAGCAATCATGAGAGGAAAAAATCATTCAGGCCTTCCGTAATCGTACCAACATTCATATTCTGGCTACCATCTCTAAAGTCCATTCAAGAACCATCAAGAGAACGGTGAATAAATTTAAAAAAAGAGGGAACAGTAGACAAGAAAACTGGATCAGGAGGTTACAACAAGAAGAGAGATCATCATTTCAACTGAATGAATACTTCTCATTTTCAATCTCACGTAGTCATGTGTGACGTCACGAGCTGCGATGCTATTTTCGCTTCCGCGTCTCGTATACACGAGTTTGTGGTTGCTTTGAAATTTTTCATGCAACAAAAACAGACTATCATTATTGTTTTGTCCGTGTATTGTTTGATATATTGAAAAGTAATTGTCATCTTTGATAATGGCTTATGTAAGCCAAAAGCTTAGATTGGATTTAAACATATATCAATATGGTGATTTCCTTTCGTCTTTCAATGATAATGTTATTGAGCTTATCAGACAATATGAAAAGAACTTACTTGAAATAAATAGACAAAAACTTGTCTATATTATTTAATGAAACACACACACACACACACACATATATATATATATATATATATATATATATATATATATATATATGAATGAATGAGGCTTTTGGTGAATTCTGTGTCATTTTATCTATGGTTTTTAACTATTGTCTCAACTGGGACTCCTTTAAGAATCGTGGTGCTGAATTTTAAACCAAAGCTGTGGTGTTCCTGTTCGATATTGGATGGTTGTATATTCTCTATTAGATCTTGTCTTCTTGCATATTTCCACCCTCTATTTACAACAAAATCTCAACACCCTATGTACTAATATTTCCACCCTCTATTTACAACAAAATCTCAACACCCTATGTACTAATATAGAAGTCTGGCACGTTCTAATCCCAAACGCACTTGGGTATTTGCGCGTAAGTGACTGACACTGGAACTCGGCTGTTCGATTTCCAATTGCCAGCCTTTATCCTTTGCACCACCCGCACATCCGAGCTTATAGCACCTGGCATTTCGAAGCGGTCGCCCACGTAGTTAGAAACCACGCTCGACGTTACTTAACTTCATTGATTGGATGAGAACCAGTGTGAGAATAAAAAATGAGATTCAGGAAGCAAATTAGAGGCATGAGATCATGGGTCATATTAGTTAAAACACCCGAGAAATTTCTTGATTATCATAATAATAATTGTCACCTACCTGAGATTCCGTAAGGTTTTCCAGCCCTTGAATAACACCAACGTCTGGTCTCTGGAACTGTAAACAAATAAATTTAAAAAATAGATTTAAAAAAAAAAAAAAAAAAAACCCACTGACGATTCTACAGGGATAGAAAGATATTTTAAAATCATTTCACCCCAAGCAAGGCAACAAAGCCACTAAGACGCTACTGAGTGTGAAATAATATAAGAAAACGAAAAAAACATTACTAAAGAGCAAGAAGAATAAAAGAACTGAAATTAAGAAGACAGAATTTAACGATTGATATTACATTTACATTTTTGAAGATCAAACTTGACTGTAAAGCGATAATCCGGAAGAGAGTCCATAGGCGATAAGTGCAACAGAAAAAAAACTATTAACATGTAAAAATGATGAGACCTATTGAGAATCTAATATTAGGCTTAAATTCATAGAGTCTAGGTACCTTAGAGGAAAGTAATGTTTATTTTGTAAGAATACAAAAATGTGGCATAAGGCCAAAAGGAGGGATGAGAAAAGTTGGTCTTATTATGTCTTATAATTAAAATAATCTATCCGCAATTACTGACCCAGACATACTACAGTATTCCTTACACCAAAACAACGTATTCTTAGGTACCATTCTTACTACAGTCACCGTAATACCTCAGAGTCTCTATGAAGTCCTAACTAGTTCCCAATTTGTCTATGGAAAGACGTGGAATAAAAACAAAAAAAAACTTTTAAAAATGAGAACCCATGGAGGAAAGTAATACTTATTTTGTTTTAATACAGAAATGTAACATAAGGCCAAAAGTGGGGATACGGGAAGGCTTTAGTCTGTTTTATCTTAAACTTAGCTAGCCACGATTATTGACCCAAACATACCATAGTATTCCTTACAGGAAAACAACACAGTCACCATAATATTAGGTTGGTGCAAAAATAATGACGTAATAATGTCGTTTTTTGACGTACTTTTCTACGTTAAAAAACGACATTCTTACGTCATTATTTTTGCACCAACCTAATACCTCAAAGTCTCCATGTAGTTCTAACTAGTTCCAATATGTAAAATTTGTCTGGGGGTGGGTGAATAAATTAACAGCATTTGACCCCATAGAGGAGAGTTCATCCGAATCATTATCATGAAAGTATTTATAGAAAAATACAGGGGGAAGTAACTTTACGGTGATGGGAAAATGACATAAGTCGAGATGTCACGTCAAGACCAATGTTACTTTTAGACTCTATAATGCAGTGGCTCCAAAACATTATCTAGCTCTGACCATCTTCGGTCCTAACCTATATCCTTAGAGCTAACAACCGGGTATAAAGTCGCTTCTTTGGTGTTATTAGTCATTATATTGTTATATTTGGATGCGCACGTGGCCGAGTGCTTAGAACGTTCACTTTGGACCCGGGTTCGAATCTCACCATGGTCGATTTGTCAGAAAGGAGACGATTGGTCTGGAGGAGGCTATACCAGCGTGACCCGAAAACCATAACACGGGTTGACCCAAGCCTTGTGCGTGAAACTGGGTAGACGAAACCCTTGGGGGCCGACGGTGATTGTGCTAGCACGATGTCACCAGCCATCGTGACCGAGGGTTTGGGTGTACTGGCCTTGTTCAGACTAACGCGCTCGCTCCCAGAGACTGTAGGTCCGTTTAGCATAGTTACAGTATAAACCACAGGTGGTCTCTTTGAGTGTTGAACACGAATGTGCCTGAACGGGCGTCTGCAATGGGGATTAGCTAGCCGCCCTAGTAGACAAGGATTCTCGGATACGAGTGGCTGCGCCATTTAGATTTAGATAAATACAAAATGGCGACGGATATAATACTGGGAATACACACATATACATTTTGGCTTCTAGTAGATACCATTACATAAGATGTCGCCAGACGAACATCCATGGCTATATCGATACACCTAAAAGCCTAGAGCATAGGCCCTTGGAGATGTCAGCTATCTGATAAGGCTGTCCATGTCACGTTGCGATAACGACAGCAAATACATTTCAGACAACAAGCTAAAAAACGTGCTTGTCTCTTTGTGCTAATTTTTTATGGAAACAGCTAATTTCATCAAGGGCAGTGCTGTCAGAAACCAAGAAGATCGTGTTCAGTTTTCTTTTAGGTCGCATGAGCAGCTGTACATGGTAAAAAGGGGATCACTGACAACTAGGTGAAGAGCAATAGTCGACCAAAAGAAAAAAAAAAAAACAATGATGTGTCAGAAAAATCACATGCCTGAGGGCAAGCTTAAAAGAATATAATGTAATTCGGCTTTTGTGTCCTCGAAAAAATAAGTCCCATGATGTTTTGACATGAGAAAGATCTTCATATTTCAGAACATCCCCCAAATTATAGAAAGAAAGAAAGAAAAAGAGAAATATTAACAAAGGCAGACATAGATGTAGATAGGCAAATAGAAGGGACAGAGATAGATAGATAGATAGATAGATAGATAGATAGATAGATAGATAGTGAGTAAACAAGGATAGATAGATAGATAGATAGTGAGTAAACAAGGATAGATAGATAGATAGATAGATAGATAGATAGATAGATAGATAGATAGATAATGAGATGGGGAGTAAACAAGGATAGAAAGATAGTGAGTAAACATAGATAGATAGATGGATAGATAGATGATAGATAGATAGATAGATGAGGGAGTAAACAAGGATAAAAAGATAGTGATAAACATAATAGATAGATGGATAGATAGATGAATAGATAGATAGATAGATAGATAATAGATGAGAAAGAAATAAAGAAAGAACAGTCATAGAAGAAGAAAGAAAAAAAGAAAAAAAAAAAAAGAAAAAAATAACAAAGTTTGAACATACAGATAGATAGATGAATGATAGATAGATAGATAGATATAGATAGATAGATAGATAGATAGAAAGAAATAAAGAAAAGAACAGTCATAGAAAGAAAGAAAGAAAGAAAGAAAGAAAGAAAGAAAGAAATATTAACAAAGTTAGACATGGATGTACGTAGGCAGATAGATAGATAGATAGATAGATAGATAGATAGATAGATATAGACGGACACACAAGCAAATAGACAGGGAGGCAGACAAATATTCATACAGACAGATAAATAGATACGCAAATCGGATATAAATACAGAGAGAAAAACAGAGACAGGTAATTTGATACACAGAAAGATATACAGATAGATATACAGATAGATAGTAAGATTTATTCTGTTTAATAGAGAAGTGTGACACAAGGCCGAAGGGGGCGGAGGAAGGACGGCCATCTTCTGTCTTAACTATAACTTAGCTAGCCACAAACACTGACCAAATCGTACGGACAATATTCCTTACACCAAAACAACACATTCATACGTAACTTTCTTACGACATTCACCATAATACCTCATTGTCTCTATGAAAATACTAACTAGTCCCCATATTTACAATTCAATGTCTTAGGGGTGGGGAATAAAAAAACAACAATTCTAAAAACTAGCCCCAATGTGTATTTACAATATGAATACAAAACGATTTACAAGAAACTAGAAGAAAACAATATTAGTAATAATCCCCCCCCCACACACACACAATCACTAAATGTGGCAGAAACGTCAGTTAACTGGCCGAAATCAATGCAGGACTATGATAATATAAAACATTCATTTATCCAAGCACTGACACTGACACTGACACTGACACTGACACGCACTCATTCAAACACAAAAACAAATACGAAAAACACTCACGCGAAACGAAAGGCGTCCCGCATCCACCAGTGAACTAACATCACTGGCCACCTAATATACAGATAGTCTGACAGTGACAGAGAGACGAGCATATTTATACTTAAAGACAGACATACTGACAGACAGACAGACAGACAGACAGACTGATCGACAGACAGACATGAATTTACAGACATATATAGTAAAATAAAATGCAACTCACAGTTATTCCACTCTCCATGTTTGGTAATAAAAGTATCTTGCTGTTATCTGTAACGAGGTTATCTTGTAAACTCCCTTCTTTCAATGGTCTGAAAGCAAAATTAAAAAGAAAACGTAATTAATATATATATATATATATATATATCTACATTATTTACATTTACTGATAATACATAAAAAAGTACTTGATTTGAAAATCAAAGAGTTTATGAGTGGAATTCACAAGAATTCAAATTTTACAATATAGAATATCAGTCAGTTATGTGCCATGAGTAATACACGCTTAGGCGATCATCTATCATTTGATACATGACTGACGAGGCAGATTTTTTTCTTGCAGTAGGTTGTCATTACTTTCTGCAGTAGACCAGTTGCCATCCAAGGCTATAGAACCCGGTCTGTCTTGCTATTTAACCATAATCAGTTATGTGTCATTCGTGATAAACGCTTAGGCGATCATGTATCGTTCGATACATGACTGACGAGGCAGATTTTTTCCCGCAGTAGGTTGCCATTTCTTTCTGCGATAGACTAGTTGGCATCCAAGGCTATAGAACTCGGTCTGTCCTGCTATTTACCCATAGTCAGTTATATGCCATGCGTGGCACACGCTTAGGCGATCATGTATCTTGCGATACATAACTGACCAGGCAGATATTTTTCCCGCAGTTGGTTGCCATTTCCTTCTGCGGTAGTAGACCAGTTGCCATACAAAGCTATAGAATCCGGTTTGTCCTGCTATTTACCCATAGCTTTGGGGGGGGAGAAGAAGAGGATTCATACAATTCCCAAGGGTATTAGGACGCAAGTGAAAGTAATGGATTAAACTGGAATTCGAACTCGGCTCCCCGATTCCTCAATCCGAGCCGCTATCCATTACTTGAATTGAAAAATGTTCTCCACCGACTTAAGAATGTGAGTTCAATACCTGGTGGAGAACTTGGAGAGGGGAATTAACAGGAGATAACTGATAACTGACATCCATTAAAAACATGGCACGTGGAACTAGAACAGTCGACCCCAGCGATCGAAATAAAGGGTTCAGTTCGACATTCCAACCACCTGAAGAAGGCCGGAACGTACAATGGCTGAAACGTTGTGATAAATATTGTGACAAAAACGAGGACAATAATCCGAATAATGTAAATAGTGAAGAATTGAGAAGATAGAAGGTAAGGATTGACATTGCATTTCAATTTTTGAAGATCAAAGATAACGAGGAAGCCAGAAGCCGGAAGACGAAAGAGAATTCCACAAGCGAGAAGTGCGATTGAAGAAACTATTAGCATAGAACTTACGGTTATATCCTGCTATTTCATCTGTAAAACGATGAGACCTTACCGCCAATCTAGTACTGCGGTTAAATTCATAAATTCTAGGTGCCAAATAGGAAAGGTCATCCGAACAATTATCAGGAAAATATTTATAGAAAAGGCAGAGGGAAGCTACATTATGGCGGTGGGAAAGTGACGGAAGGCGAGATGCCAGGTAACAATAATATTGCAGATTCTTCTTTGGATTCGTTATAAATTCGATGTACCAAATACTTTGCTTTCAAAATATGTACAATCCCAGGAAGTAAGAAGCTTATTTTTTCTTCTTGTTTAATTTTAAGTTTTTATTATTATTATTATTATTATTATTATTATTATTATTATTATTATTTTCTTTGATTTCTGGCGTTTACACATTTCTTTCCGGGTCCCGTTTAGGGACCTAAGGTTAAAAATGGCATCATGACACTTTCCACTGACAAAGAAAAAAAATTATTAAATTACATAGATAAAGCCCTTCGTAAAGGTGTGGGGCTGTACTTGTCAGAACAATTTTTGTATCTCCTTGAGGCATGGACTTCCAGGAATCCTTCAATTAGTCTACTGCAATCTTTTCCAACCAGTCCTAGGGCTCCAACTACAACAGGGATTGTTGATGTTCCCATATACCACATTTTTGAGATTTCTATTTCAAGGTCCTTGTATTTTGACAACTTTTTGAATATCTTCAAAGATACATTGCAGTCAGCAGGGACTGCCATATCAATAAAGGCACCGTTTTTGTTTGTGGTCTTTAATAACAATATCTGGCCGGTTGGCCTTGATTGTTCTGTCAATGTATGTATCGAAATCCCATAACCCATAGTCCTATCTCCAGGTCCTATCTCCGTAACCGGATCTGGGTGGTATTCATATCAGTTTCTTTCAGTTTTCCTTCCCGTAGAAAGTTGCAGATTTTCCAGTGCAGATATTGGCCACTCTGTCATGCCGGGTTTTATATTCAGTGGGTGCCAATATCGTGCAACCTGATACAAGATGATCAATCGTTTCTGGATATTTATCACAGAATCTGCATTTTGAGCTGACACAATATTTTAGTATATATTTAATAATTCCTAGTTAGCAAGCATTGGTCCTTAGCAACAAAAATAAAACCTTCGGTTTCCGCTTTCAACCCTGCACTACGTAGCCACTGATGGGTACGGGTTTTGTCTACGTCAGCTTGTTTGTTACGGGCAGAGTATTGGCCATGAAGCGGTTTATCTTGCCATTATTATTATTATTATTAAAATATGGGGCACTTTTTCATCATGGTATGCTCACTTTTTAGCGAGTCTGTGGAGCTACCTAAAATTAAGTCATGCTCGATCGTCACGCATTAAAACGGTAACAAAATGCCACAACAAAGAAAACGAAAGCTTATTGCTTTTTTTTGTTTTGTTTTTTCGAAATCTGTTTTTGTTGCGTTTTTTTTTTCTTTTTTTTTTGTAATGAATTATTTACTACCTCAGTGGTGTGGCTTCCTTTCACACGCTGTACTCAACTCCCTTTGATAGAGTTGATCACGAAAGGCATATTCCACGAAAATAAAACCATTAAGAATCTACAAGGCAAACCAAGCTCGCCATTTTCAACCATTTTGAGCCCACAACTGTCTTAAGCGCTCTGGTCAAGTTCCAAAGCAAACACGAACATTATCCTAAAATTTATCATTGGATAACACGAAAATTGCATTCAATCGATAAATAGATACGAGCAAAAGCCATGCACCCTTTTCACCATTTGTTTCCAAGATTGCCCAACTCAAAAGATGCATTCCAAGTAATATGCCTTTTATTATTGAAAATTTTCATTCTTTTCCATATCAGTACAAAGGAATTTACATTTGTTTATTTTTATAGAGTAGGGTTTTTATGTAAATATATTCAGGATGGACTTCAAATTTTGTTCCACCCTCGGTAGGTGGGCGGATCCCCTGCTGGTTGAGAACACCTGGGATAGATCGATAGATAGATACGAACAGGATCAGATAGATAGATCGATAGATACGAACATGATCAGATAGATAGATCGATAGATATGTATGAATACAATCAAATAGACAGACACAAATGTGATAGATAGATAGATACATAGATAGATAGATAATGAAGAGACTGAGATAGATAGATAGATAGATGAATGAATAGATAGATAGATAGATAATGAATAGATAGATAATGGAGACTGAGATAGATAGATGAATAGATGGATAGATAGATAGATAGATAGATGAATGGATAGATGAATGAATAATATGAACACAAAAATAATAGACTGTAGATATGAACAGAATGAGATAGATAGATAGATAAATAGATAGATAGATAGATAGATGTTGCATTTAATATTTAGCACTCCAGTAATCACTCCGGAGTATCCTTTCTATAATTTACTGACACTTTATGAGCTTCGCTCCTCAACCTGAGAGTTTTTCTTCTTTATTCTTTGCAGATATTACGATGAAGAAAGGAAGACATGGCATTTTATTACTTGCTCCCTATCTGTCGTCTTTCTCATATTCGCTATCTCTCAGCCAATCTTAACACGATTCCGACCTTCGAATTGGGAAGACTTTAACAAGGGAGGCAAACGCTGATATACATTTATCAAAGAAAGTCTAATAACCAAAGAAATAGCTTCTTCCGTCTTCGTCGTCCTAACGGGAAACTGATAATGATTCAATGTCATAGTTTATTATTATTGGAAATGATAACGAGAGGCTCTTCAATTATTAGATTTTACGCCGGTTGACAATGTTCATGTTCCAGGGTTCAAATTATTATTCGTTGTCGTTTTTGTAGCGATGTCCACCGCCATTTTGCTTTCCAGTCAAGTTTGATCTCCAAATTTTAAATGCGATGTCAACCGTTATTTTCTCTCTTCTCAATTCTTGTTCCTTTTATTTTTCTCTCTCCTTAATAATGTTTTTCCCTTATTCTCTCACACTCAATAATCCCCTTGCAGCTTAGTGGCTTTATTGCCTTGCTGAAGGTGAAATGATAAAAGAAAATTTTTGAGCAGCAAAACGACATTGTTGTTATATCATACGCAACTCAATATACCCATCACGATACACTGCCCGGTGCTAATATACAAGACACAGGTATTACAGCCAAATATATCACGCGATATACTGACAGGTTTTGAGAAAAGCAGGCTTTAGCCTTGAGAGTGGGGGTCAAGTTAGAAACACCTTCAAGGTTTTTAACTCTGTCCGCTCAGAAGGTCTCCGACTAAGGTTGGTCCAAGTATCTAGACGTGACAACTAAGTCGCCTTGGCTGTCTTATATTTAAAACCAAAAAAATAACAATCCTCTCGACACCCGGGTCGATGACGGTGACTTACTGCTATTGCTTATGAAGCAAGATGCACAACGGATGACTATAACCAGTTGGGTGTTTCCCCTAGGGCAGGGCTACTCAAAGTTGTGGTCCGCGGACCGGTGCTGGTACGCGAACCATCAACTACTGGTTCGCGGCCAATGTCCATGTTAAGGAATCATTTGAAGTTAAAAAATTTTTAATATTATTACTTTTTATGTTTTGGTACTGGATTATTTTTTTGGAAAAAAAAAAAAAAAAAAATGGAAGATAAAAAAAAATAATCTATTTTTGTTATATTCATTGTATATATCGTCTCCGATATAAATTAATATTACCACGAAATATTACAGGTAAGTGATACATTGCGAAAAAAAATGCCGGTCCACCATATCAGATAGTTTGAGAAGCTCTGCCCTAACGCAACCAACTGGTTATAGATAGACAACTGAAAAGCTAATTTGTCGCACTATACGGGGATATTTACTGTAACCCATTTTCATTCGCCATTTTTATTTGATTAAGATTTTTTTTTAAGCGTTTCACCCCAAGCAAGGCGGGAAGCCACTAGGACGCAAGGGGTTACAGAATATTTGGAGCAAGATCAGATAGGGGTGATAGAAGAAAGGATGAGGGTAGTGGATAGATCAAGGCAACTGGAGATATCAATTGACATTACATTTGAATAGTTGGAGATTATATCCCTCAGGGAAACTGGAATAGGGAAGGGAGTTCCACAGGCGAGAGGTGCGAGACATGCAGCTATTAGAGTAGAAGAGACGGCTACATTTAGGAGTTTCGACAGTGAAGGGGTGAGAGCAGGATGCCAGCCTCGTAGGGCGCTTGAACTCATGAAGTCTAGGAGCCAGCGAATGCAGCTCCTTGGAGCAATTGCCATGAAAGTATTTGTAAAAAAAGACAGAGAGAGGCGACGGCGCGTCTGTGAGAGTGTGAAGTCAGGCGAGATCTTATTATTATTATTAATATTATTAGTGTATACGGGCCGTCAAAACTAATGACAATTATTATAATGTTTTAATAGTGAGATGCAATAAAACAAATGTTTTGAAATAAGGCAATGTGATTCAATCCACGGAGATAAAAACTTCACAACTAAAATAGAAGCCAATGAATCATTTAATTAATCCGTTCCTTTTATATTTTTAGACGTTCAATGGTATCTATGATTCATTGATTACTCATGGGATTATATAAACCACTTTTTGCTCAGTATTTTTTTCCTGTTCAATATTATACAACAGTGAAATAGAAATATCTCTCAGGAAAAAAAGATTAGTAATAAAAAGACAAAGAGGGCAACGACTAAGTCTGCTTTCAGATCAAGTTGAAGCAAGACGATCATCTAATAGACAAAGATATCTGAGTGCCCCACATGAAAGGCTTGAAGAAATAAGACTACAATCTAAGTAGCGTAGGAGTAATGGAAGTAAATTTATCTAAATGTAGATAAACATTTTATTTGTATAGAATATTAAATAACTAAGAGAAGTAATCACTAATAATTTTACTAACTTGAGTTGATGTACAGACCCTTCCCACTACAGATGAGACAGGATATATATAAATAAATGCATATTAATAATAATTTATTTTTATTATTTCATTTGATTTCTGGCGTTTACACATTTCTTTCCGGGTCCCGCCCAGAGTCCTAAGGATAGAAATAGCATCATAACACTTTCCACTGACAAAAAAAGAAAAAGAAAAAGAAAAAAAGAAAAATATTTTACATAGATAAAGCCCTTCGTAAAGTGTGGGCTGTACTTGTCAGAACAATTTTTGGTATATCTTTGAGGCATGGACTTCCAAGAATCCCTTCAATTAGTCTACTGGAATCTTTTCCAACCAGTCCTAGGGCTCCAACTACAGCAGGGATTGTTGATGTTCCCATATGCCACATTTTCGCGATTTCTATTTCAAGGTCCTTGTACTTTGACAACTTTTTGATTATTATTATTATTATTATCTTTGATTTCTGGCGTTTACACATTTCTTTCCGGGTCCCTTGAGACCTAAAAGGTTAGAAATGGCATTATGACACTTTCCACTGACAAAAAAAAAAATTACATAGATAAAGCACTTCGTAAAGTGTGGGCTGTACTTGTCAGAACATTTTTTTTGTATCTCTTTGAGGCATGGACTTCCAGGAATCCCTTCAATTAGTTTACTGGAATCTTTTCCAACTAGTGCTAGGGCTCCAACTACAATGGTGATTGCTGATGTTCCCATATGCCACATTTTTGAGATTTCGACTTCAAGGTCCTTGTATTTTGACAGCTTTTTGAAGATCTCCAAAGATACATTGCAGTCTGCAGGGACTGCCATATCAATAAGGAAGCACTTATTATTATTATTATTATTATTATTATTATTATTATTATTATCTTCTTTTGCTTTCTGCTCTGAACAATCCGTTACGGAGTCCTTCCCTAAGAGCGGGGATAAAACAAGGTCGTAAATATATACACAGATTCTGATGTTAAAGGATATTTAATACGTACTGTGTATATATTCTATTTACATTGATAATACTCTCACTATATATTTGATATCCTCTCCGATTTTTAAATGTTTCGACCGGGTGACAATGACCATACCTCTGCTCTTAGCCGCAACTTCGAGACACGACACGACACTTTCCTCAGCACACAAACTGCTCCAAAGAGTGCTACCAGTTGCACAATTCATATGTTGTCAGGTATTCCCGCCTCCAGGCGTCCTGCGTGTCAGAAAGACGCCCGAAAATAGCCTCGAGTGCGTCAATCAGTTCAGCTATTCCACACGAAATTTATATGTCAGGTATTCGACTGAATTCATATGTTGCCAGGAATCCTCGAGTGATGTTGTGTAGCAGAGAGATTCCTGAAGAATAGTCCCGAGCGTGCTAAATGTTTCGTGGAATTCATATAATATCAGGTTTTACACGCTAGGCATAGATTCTTGGAAATAGACCCGAGTGCGCCAACTCAAAAAAAAAAAGAAAAAAAGACAACTTCAGCTGTAGCATGGTATATATCTACGTTTTGCCCATATAGAATATCAGGACGATTTCTCTCCAATCGCTTGTCAGTCACCGTTCTCTAAATTTTCGCCATGTTTAATATTAGGAAGAGACAGCTGAACGTTCTAGGGCTCGTAATGAGGAAAGAGGGTTTGGAAAATTTGATACTCACAGAACAGATTGAAAGCAAGAGGGACAGAGTAAAACAATCCATAATCTACATGGAGAGCTTGAGTAAATGGATGCCGGAACAATGTATAGGAGAGACAGTAATACGACAAAATTTATTAAGGGCTACAAAAGACAGGAAATTGTGGAGAACCATAAACAGCAATGTCCTAAAGGGACACGCTACATAAAAGGTTTGCCATTTACTATAGCTGTAGTCGTTTCTCTTTCTTTACACATTACATATATATATATATATATATATATATATATATATATATATATATATATATATATGTAAAATATGTAAATATATATACATAGGTGCATACACATACATATATATTTTATGAATTTTACGATTCAGTGGAATAAATTATGACCATGGAATATTAGTGTTTAAAAATTTTTATTCTCTCATTACACAAAATATGCTGTTATTGATATATATATATGACGACCATACATTTTTTATATATCTGTATACATACTATTCTTTATACATACTACACATATATATATATTTATTTAAGAAATTGGCGATGGGGTGTTACATACTTGGTATATTTTATATACATACTATACATATATCTATACATACATATCATTTCCGGTGATGTCGTATAACGCATTTTATATATATATACATACATACATATATGATGGATATTCTTCAATGTATATATATATCCTATATATACATACTGGCCGCTCTATATATACTATATATATATCCCTATATGTATGAACTATATTAAGGGGTGGGGGTGGACGGTGGCAATAACTTTCTTTCTTTTTTCTTTTTTATTTTGGAATTTTGGCCATGCGTT